CACAACGTGCTGTACCTGTTCCCCATTAAGTGTCTCCAATACAATTCTTAACAGCTCATTAGACGTATGTTCTCCCTCCCCTTCCCCTACACCGTTCCCTTCTTGACGGGTTTCGTGGGAAGGCTTGTAAAGTCTTTGCAATTGCTCGATCCCTTTTTGGGATGCGGCACGCATTCTACTTCCATTCAGGATCGTAGTCGGCTTATTGAATGCGATGTGGGCTATACAATGACTTGCGGGGGCCAGCTAATGTGCAAAACTTATCGTTATTCTCCCAGACAATTCTAGTAATATTTTACCGTCCCTGTGGCTAGAACGCCTGGTTGGTGTACGCGGGAGCCGATCCGGGATTTTACTCCCGGACCGCGCGCGTGCTGAAGCGTGCCACTTCCTATTGCGCCACCTTCGCCTCGTAATGAAAGAAGGTTTTTCTACATCTAGGTGATGCTCCCCTAGTCAGACTAGACCACGCATATACCCGCTCGAGGGACACGGAGTTACACCTTATTATCACCATGTATCACTCCGAATCAATAATTAGATTTTTAGATCGCGATCATAACGTTCAAGTCGTGACGCTAGCCAAGGTCTCTGACACCCTCTGGACTGCTTCATGGTTACCCAAGGTAATTTCATTTAATTTCCTGTTGGTAAAGAGAAATTCTTGTAGAAACACCCACATCGGAAACTTGAGGTCCATATTCGAGTCCTGCTTGAGTTCCAGTTTTTTACCCATAACTTAGAATTCTTAAGATAACTTCAGTGGGAGGCTATTAGCGACTGCTGCGATACGTACTCCTTAGGGTAGTTTATTATTGGCAATAAAAAGAGTTCCAAAAAAATCTTTGCAAGACCTATGTTGAAGTTTAGGAAATGTTACGATTTGATGGGGGTTCTGCGTCCTGGCTCCTCCCTTGTGTCAATAGTTGGTGACCCGTTTAATGTTGTTGACACGTTTCCGTATTGTTCATAGAGGCTACTCGAAGATCTAGGACAACATAAGTAGCACGGCTTATGTGTTCCAGGTCTGCGCTTGATTTACCTGAGTTCGTTCGGTAATATATTGTGTGATTCTTATCCTTTACTTCTGAGTTGTTCTTTTTATTAACTTACTGAATTTAAATGTGTCTACAAAAAGGAATGGATAAGCGTAGACTCTATTGTCATTTTTTTGTGTTGTGAAGCGTAATCGAATGTTGTGTCGGCCAAAGCTGGGACAGATTCTGGCAACGTTTTTGTTTCCGCCCTTTCTTTATCCCGTCAAGGTTGTTCGTTGCGCTTAAACACAAAAGCTATCATTTATCTCTTACGGTCATCTGACAATCGTCGCCTATTGATTGCCTTTTCAAATTTTTTTTTGCCGAAAAATATTTCTTTGCGCAATTTGCTTTCGTCTAGAGGGCTTTGTACCTTAGCATAGCTTTAGCGAGCGCGGTTCGATTCGCCTCCAAAACCTGAACGCAACTGTGCCATTTATATACCCCCGAGGGGAGGGGGGAGGGGGTGTAATTCACCCAAATGAACGTACGATGTACTCTTATTTTCAAGTCGAAGTGTTCTTCTATTGTCTCCTGAAAATGCCTTGAAATGAGGTTGGAGGGTATTGCAGCTAGAAGGCGTTCCGAACTGATACCGCCTGCGGTTTGATAGTGGCCTGACCCCTCCGGAGACTTGCACACGCCCCTCTGGAGTTACCATGCTGGCAAGCTGCCGAAAATGAGGAAGAAAAAGGATAAAGTCTTCGCCGTTGATCAATCCCTTTGTGGGATGCGGCACGCATTCTACTTCCATTCAGAATCGTAGTGGCTTATTGAATGCGATGTGGCCTATACAATGACTTGCGGGGCCAGCCGATGTACAAGTCAGTCCAGACGAATCTGGTACCAATTTACCGTCCCCGGAGGGTAGAAGGCTTGGTTGGCCTGGGCGGGAGTCGACCCGGGATTTGAACCCAGGACCGCAGCGCCACTTGTCACTACACCACCTCATTTTCCAAAATTGCAACTCTCTGGCCACATTTTTGGCGCATTTTTACGTGACGGTGATAGCATTGTATGTCGGCTGCACAGTTCACCTCGCACAAAGAGAGGATCAGGATCCTCAGAGAAGAGAGTACAGGCATCTTTGAGGTAGGGTGTGAGAGCCCCGAGGCCGCTTACTAATTTACAAGCTATGGGTTACTTTTGACAATAGCTAAGTATTCTTGTGATAACTTTCGGAGCGCGAACTGCGGCGCTACACAGCAGTTACCATACCAAAACAACTACTGTATGTACAATTGGTGCTCTTATTCCCCAGACAGTCCAATTATTCTTCCTCTAGTGAGCTGGAGTAGGATGTGGAAGGCTTGGTTGGAAGCGGAAGAAAAAAATTTCAAAATTTGACAGTAGTATTATGCGCACGATAAGCAGCGCCACCTGCTACCACATCTCCTCCAGCCACTGGTCAAGCTCACATTGAAGAAATATGCTACGAATGTTGAATATGAACAAATCTAATGTGTTTAGTCCGAAGGCGGTCACGAACTGGCAATCTCAGTCGCTGGTATGCCAATTGCTGGCTCACCATTTTTCACGTTCCAGTTCTCGATCCATCGGCAGTGAGAGTTATTGGCTGGAGAAAATGATCGGTCGGGGGTGGGAGTTACAACATTTTAATGGTAGCGTTATATGTGAAACAAACCGATATCATATTCTGAGTTACCAGTAGCCTCCCTTTTCAGTGGACTACACTCAAAGTGGCGCTTTGTCGGCTTCTGTGGAAATTCGACGTGGCTCACAATCAGTGCCATGTAGCGTGAAACGGGTCAAACCTGGCCTATTGATGTGCTCTTTTAGCAACCTGACTGCAAGGTCTGTAATGACGAATGTATCTAATATCGACGACTGTATTCCTTCCCGCGAAGTGAATGCTCCTCGGGTGTGGAGCTTTACTTTACTTTCGAGTAGCGGCCAGTGCCAAGAAAAGGGCGTTGCAAACGAGATGACATACGCAGCATTCGCGCGCTGACCAACCCTTAGCGTAGCAGTGCTCGGCGCGTCAGTTTTCCCGCTTGTCTTTGCCTCCTGGCGTCTCTTAACCGATCTAGCTTTCTCTCTGTCTGTCTGGCAAGCGTAGCTAAGAAAATACTGCTACTAGTGTCGCCGATGCCGCGATCGGTTCGCAACTAAGCCCACCCTATGCCCCACCCATTTGACCTTTTTTCAGCGGCAGGGGTGATTGACTGGGAGGCATACAGCGAGATTACACTCCGAGTTCCTCAATTTGCATCTGCGTCCTCCCACTGAGATGGTGTTTGGCGGGGCTCTACTAGAGTGAGAGCCCAACCGTGCAGAAATTGGGCGCGGCGTGCTCACGTCTATTGCCCATAGCTGCACTCTCAATACTCAGGGAATGGAGAAGGTTTTGACCGGCGTACACCGATTCGATTGATGGTCGGAAGATACTTTCCGGTGGCATATTTCCCACTTTGAGACTGACGTCATCTCGTCTTTCGAGGCTCAACAAGTGGCAGTGATTACAATGGCCCTTCAAAACGGCGATATTCCACAGGCAAGAGCGTCCGCCCCATTCACATAAGTACGCAGGCCACGCCCTTCCCAATGCCCGTTCCATCTGGAAAAAGGTGTTCCCCCATTGCTACACACCCAATGGGGAACCACCTTCTCGCAGTCAGCACAAACACCTTTTCTTGTTCCTTGTTACTCTTTCTATCGAAACGATTACTCGTTGATTCAGGTGGCAGAAAGTATCCTGAAGCCCTTCAAAAAACTTTTTTGACAAGTTATAAACCATGCGGCTAGGTTTATAAAAGCCAAAAATGAGAAGCGCGCTAAAATCCGCCTCTACCGCGCAGCTAGCCTACTGCCATAAGCCGTAAAGCTTGGTGTGTAAACTGTTTGCACTTCAGAAATCAAAGTTGCCATGCGCTTTAATTTCACGGCTTCAGTTTTGAATACTGTATCTCGCCCGCTTTCCTAAACTTGTAATTCAATATCATGTGGACATACCTTAGAGCTTGTGTAGCTGATTGTTTCATTGTTCAGAGTGTCCGTACGAGTGCAACATCAGTTCCTTGGGAGCGGTCCGCGCGTGCGGTGACGCGTTGCGTCGCGCACAGCGTGGGCGTGTAGCTCGCTTTGAGGTGTCGCTTAATGACGCGACACGTGGTGAGCTTGACGTGATGATATCAGGTGATGATCACATCATTTACCAGTTACTTTACTATGTAGTATAGTAATGTTTTCCATTCTATTTCAGGCTGTTCCCACCTCATGTGCATGTTGTTATGTGTTCTTGTGTGCTTTATGTTGTGTGTCCCACCCGCAAATATTTAGCAAATGATTAGTGCTTATTAGGCGTATTTAAGATCCCAATGGTGGACCATTACCCGTACGATGTTATCGACAACAAGACGACAGCTATTGGGTTGAGTTCACCCCGGAACAAACTGGTAATTGGATGAAATATCTACCACTGTACTCTGGGATTGCTAAGGAAAATTCTTTTTTACAGGTACCCACACAATTGAAGTAACGTTTGGCGACGTTCCTGTGGCTGGCTCACCGTTCCGTTGTGAGGTAGTGGACCCCAAGAAGGTCAAAGTTAAAGGACTTTCTGACGGTCTACATCTTCGCCATGTTACAACCATCAATGGTATGATGTACTTTCTGTTGTATTTTTTGGCATGGGTCAGGAGATCCGAATTTTGGGCATGTGATGAAAGCGGTGTAACAAGTTTTCGGATGCGCGTCATTCGCACCAAAACCTAGCTGGTCTGAAGCGAACTGCTTCAGCAAACCAAATCAATCTGGAGGCTAGTCGTGCGCGGCCAGTTTATTTAAGCATGTCGCCGCAAGCCGGATCTCCTGACCCACGCAGCCTCTTTCGGTTCATTGTGTTGCCAACATAGGTGGTCCGTTCTATAGCTAGTTATGAGTTTAGTTGATCGTCGGCAAGCCGGAGATGGAGATTTAACAGTTGAAATATGCGATCCAACAGGAACACCCCTGAAGGTAGAAACCCTCAAATCTCCCAGTGGTGAGGACAGAATAACCTTCCTTCCGAACCAAACTGGTCCACACAAAGTCAACGTGAAAGTGGCTGGATTCCAAATACCGGGTGAGCCATTCTCTTTAGTAATCACTTCATTTTTTATTTTTTTTCATGATCTCCTTATTAACCTTGAAATCAAGTCTAGTATATTTTAAGGGATATCCTCAAACAGATAGTGTATCTGAGCAACCTCAACCCAGTGTCTAGGTGCAGCTGTGATATTCCAAGTTTCAATGATCTGATTGGGTTTATGAGGTTCCTGCCTCTAGTGCGAGTCTTTGACCCAAAGGCTGCTGAACGGCGGACGTAAAGTCAGGAACTTGGTCCTCAGAGAGACATAAAGTTTTATTGTTTGATGCTATGGTTGGTGTATCTTAAGCTTTGCGTGTCCGTCTTTTTGTATTAAATGGCTTTTATTGTCTAGTTATGTCTTATCATTAAGTTGTGAGTGAAGGGCGTACCTTTTAATGGCCTACTTATTTTCATGAAGTTCTGTTGGTTCCTCGTAAGAAGTTGTGAGCCTCATATTTGTATATCGAGCTTTAATCAACAAACCGATATGCCGGTAAATACTGTAACGCAGTAGTATAACATGCCACCTTTCTATCAAGTCTCTTTGCGATTGCGCTTGTGTTGTCGACTTTTGTCTGTTGCAAATAGTTTAAACACGTGTTATGGATTTCATTTTGCACTTCTGTCTAGGAGATGAGCAGAATGCAACTGCGTCCTTCATTTGAAAGTGGATTTGGCTGCGCTTCTGTGGGACGTTTTCGTTTTAAGACAAGCAAAACCATACCTTATCCCATGAGGAACGCATCCTGGCGTATATTCAAATAGAGGTACGCAAGCTACGCCCCACGTCCATCCCGGATATGAATGTATGTAGTGGCCAATCGCGTTGTCACGAAAGTGCAAAAGACAAGGGAGGATTTGGGAAAAAAATCCCCAAAAAGTGATAAGACTTCTGATGGCTGGGACCGCCCCTTCCCGTTCAGGCCGACGAGGCCAGGTTCAGACTTCGCGGACAGCGCGCTACATTGCAGTGGCGCTCCAAGTGATTAGAGACAGAATTCAGCCATAGACGCCGTATTACGATCGGCACCAACCGCTAGCGTTTGGGAGAGTATATAAGAGTAGGAGGGTACCAGACTATGACTAGGCAGCGCGCACCTTCATAATTTCTTGTGCTCTCTCTCGAAACACTAACGGCCGGCGCCGATCCGTTCCTATCTATGGCACCGTCCTCATCTACGGCACGGGAGCGCCATTGCAGTTTTAGCGCGACGCAGTGAATTGACGCGCGTTGTCGTCAACTCTGAACGCTGCCTAGGGGTTTTGAGAGATCGTTTCGCGTGAAAATTTTTGCCATGAGAAAAACTGGCCGAAAAATGTTCGGCTCCCACAGTGGCTCATGGGGTGAACGTGTTCCGATCAGGAGGATTCTTGGCACGGGTACGGCTGATATAAAATTGCCTACCCAGAAGGATCGGGAAGCTGTGATGAGAATTCCCAGAAACATGCAGGTCATACTGACTTCATCTGCACCATTTACGCGTCAATATGCTCCTTTAACTGTTGCAATTATTCACTCTTGCCAGAGGAGCTTGTGAATGGTGTGAGATGGTCCCTCACCATCCCTCCCCTTTTACCTATGAACTGAACGCGGCTTTTATCTTTGGTCGAACCCGTGAAAGTTAACTCCAGTGGGTAGAAACCAGACGTCAAATAGCTAGGAAAATTACATTATGGCAATATTTAGGAAGTCCGTTCACGGTGCGTGTAGTCGATCCATCGAAAGTGGTAGTGAACGATCTCGACATGGATCGCGATGGTTCATTCTTGCTACGTCTAGGCCAGCAGAACGTGTTTGACGTCGACGCTACCGCTGCCGGACCCGGTCGGTCAATTAAAGGACTCTTGTGGTTCTTGCCAATAAAAAATCTGCTATATTTTGAATAGCACAAATTTTCCAGGCAAACTTCGTGCTGAAGTTCGGAATTCCGAGAGTGCACTACTCGGTGAAGGTCCGGCCGTCGACGATCTCGGCTACGGAAAATACCGTGTCGCTTTCACTCCAAACAACCCGGACGGTACGTCTAGTAGGATATACGGTATTGTTTGCTGCGGACGCTGGGGCGTTTCAGGGGGAGGTGGCTGGTTTGGCACTGTACTAGCCTGTTATCCATCAGTTGTGGAATGTGGCCGGCAGTTGCAATAGCTGGAGAACAGGCTGTAGCTGCGCCAAACCCAGCCCCTCCTGAGACGCCCAGTGTCCGCAGCGAAAAAGACTGTAACTCAGTTTCTTCTTTATGACTGTCAATATTTCAGATACTCTATCTACCTCTACTGGAATGAGCTTCCCGTTGAAAGTGCTTTCCCGGTACGAGCACGATCAGCTGACGAACGAGCTACAACTTCTCGAGAAACAGTTGCACCCATCACCAGCAGCAGTCATGTGAGGTTCGTAGTAGAGCATTTCTGTACCAGTCAGCGACTCAAAGACAGACTGTACACTTACCTCCAAGGACGGTTCTTGCAATTTGTGAGGCGAATGGCCCGCAGCTACAGTAGAATGCCATTTTCTCTGCTCCAAAGTACACCGGCCGCCCGCGCTATATTCAATGGGCAGCTTTTACGTCAATACCAAAATTCCTGCTGCGAAACACGTGCTCAGTGGTAGAGAACAACCAGAAGTGAGAGGGTGCAGACAAGTAGCGCGTTTGGCTATGGTTAGGCGTGTGGCTGGCTGTGCAGCAGCGCGGGCGGAGTATGAATACGGTACCCGACCCGCTGCTCTCCTGCCCCGTTCCTGTGCACTTTTGACCAGAGGAAAAGGTACACTACTGAAGCTGAGACCACC